TCAGGTCTCTCCTGAGGAGCAAGGAAGAGGTCTCAGCCCCACACCAGGTTCCCTAGCCCACGGTGTCAGTGAAGAGAAGAGGAATTCTTACATCTGGCTGTGAAAATCAGTGGGGATTCCATACAGGTGAGACAGGGCTGCTGGAGTCCAAGGTGTCCTCTTCAAGGGCCAGCACATGAACTTACTCCCTCTGAGCTCCAGTGCAGAGGGAGCAGCTCAAAAGGCACGAGGGACATATAGGGATGAAGTGAATTGTTAGGCTTCAGAGTGAGGGCTGGAAGGGCAGCTCTGTCTAGGTAGCTGCCATTGTGCATTTGTTGAGCCCTCCCAACACACAGCATGCAGGCACAGGTGGGCACCAAGTCTGAGTCTTCAACCTGGCTAATACTGTTTGCCCCACCCTGTGATTTCCTGAGACCCAGCCCTACCCAAATAACAGGCTTCCAGTGAGTTTTCCACACGAATGGTTTATCTCCACTCCTGTTGGGGACTTTCCTAAAATCTCTCGAAGGTTCACAAACCACAAACAAGCAGCATCTGGGCTCAGCGAGCATCGTACCCTTTGCTAAGTGGCCCCAAACTTGGCACTAGTGGCAGTTAGCTTCTGTTCACAGCTTAGCTCCTCCCAGGAACCTCCAAGCCCAGCACAAGTGGCATCCATCTGCAGATTACTTTGTAGCTCATACCAGGTAGCCCCAAGCCAGGCACAGGCAACAGCTAAACTTGCCCTTCAACAGAGCCCCTCCTAAGAGGCCCCAGAACCGACACACCCAGTGGCCAGCTTCGGACCACACCAAAGCACCACCCAAGAACCTCTATAAACGACACACCCAAAGGGCAGACCTGGCAGATACCTGAGCCCTGCTAAAGCTAATTCTGCTTCGTCAGCTGAGCCTCTCCAAAACAGTGCCTCTGCTGTAGTCAAGACCATTACTCACAACCAATCAGCCTGAGGGTCAATCCCTTCCATTGATGTGACAACAGTAATCAATGCTCAACTACAACAAGAGGGCACAGAAAACCCCCACAAGGAACATATCCAAAACATATCCAGCTCAGATGACCAGGGAGACCGTATCAAGACTTGGAGAAAAAGCAGCCCTACCTAATACGTAGAAACAAACACAGGGAGGCAGCCAAAATGGAAAGACAAAGAAATATGTCCCAAATGAAAGAACAGAATGAAACTCCAGAAAAAAAAAAAAAACTAAACAAAATGGAGACAAAAAGTCTACCAGATGCAGAGTTCAAAACACTGGTTATAAGGATGCTCAATGAACTTAGGAGAATAGATGAACTCAGTGAAAACTTAAAAGAGAAAACATAAAAATGAAGATAAAAAAGATGCAGTTAGAAATGAATAAGTAAATAACTGAAATGAAGAATATATTAGAGGGAATCAACAGTAGATTAGATGAAGCAGAGGGCTGAGTCTGCAATTTGGAAGACGAGGTAGTGGAAAACACCCAATCAGAACAGCAACAAGAAAAAAAGAAGTTAAAAAAAAAAAAAAAATGAAGATAGTTTAAGGAGCCTCTAAGACAATATCAAGCATTCCAACTTTTGCATAATAGGGGTAACCCAAAGGAGAAGAGAGAGAGACAGACAGAGAGCAAACAAGTGAGCAAGGAACTGAAAAACTTATTTGAGGAAATAATGATGGAAAACTTACCTAACCTGGTGAAGGAAAAAGACATAAAATCCCAGGAAGCATAGAGAGCCCCAAACAAGATGAACCCAAAGAGGACCACACCAAGACACATCATCATTAAAATGCTAAAGGTTAAAGGCAAAGCGAGAATCTTAAAAGCAGCAAGAGAAAAATATCTAGTTACCTACAAGGAAGCTCCCATAAGACTGTCAGCTGATTTCTCAACAAAACTTTGCAGGCCAGAAGGGACTGCCACAAAATATTCGAAGTAGTGAAAAACAAGGACCTACACCCAAGATTACTCTACCCAGAGAGACTATCACGTAGAATGGAAGAACAGATAAAGAGCTTCTCAGAAAAGAAAAAGCTGAAGGTGTTTGTAACCACCAAACCAGTACTACAAGAAATGTTAAAAGGACTTCTTTAACCCATTTCCCATTTAGGAAAAAAAGTGCAGCTCACTGTCAGCGTTAATTTAATTTTACATAAATACACTCTGAGGCAGAGGCAAATCTGACTGGTTTTCAATGTGAAAATAAAATACAAAAACTGTTCTTGAAGTTATTTCTAAAATGAACTTGTCTCTAATCCTAATATAACAGAAATGTATATATAAATCAGATTCATCAAATGAATCTTCGGCTAACAACTGAGAACAATGTTAACATTACGCATAGGAATGCTATATATTCTAGAATTTGACATTTTCAGTGATTGAGAATTATTATATTTTGTAAATGGAAATACCACTACTAAAAACAGAATGCTATAAATAGAATGATGTCATTTGTTTTCAAAAACTATTGATATACTAGAGTGATGTGAAAATAATAATAAAAGCGAGATATTTCATGGCAAACTTTGGGGTAAGGTTAGGACTATAATTCGTAAGTTATCTTGGGGTAAATGCTGCAGCTGTAAGTGCCACTGGTGAGTATTTTCGGGGCAAATGGGAAATGGGTTAAGAAGAAGGAAAAAAACACGAAAAATATGAATAAAATAGCAATTATCACATATCTAGCAACAATTACTTGAAATGTAAATGGATTAAATGCTCCAATCAAAAGACCTAGGGTGGCTAAATAAATAAGAAAACAAGACCCATAAATATGCTGCCTATAAGAGACCCACTTCAGACCAAAAGACACACACAGACTGAATAAAGAGATGGAAAAAGATACTTTATGCAAATGGAAATTTTAAAAAGCTGGGGTAGCAATACCTATATCAGACAAAATAGACTTTAAAACAAAGGCTGTAACAAAGGACACTTTGTACTCTTGAAAGTAATACAATATCGTATTTCAACTGCGTTTGAAAAATAAAATACATTTAAAAAAAAGAAAGTGATCCTGTGGAATGGAAAACAAACATGGTGAGCCATATGATCACCTCACCTACTACCTTGAAAGACTGTCCAGGCTGCACAGAGAGAGACGACCCAGGCAGAACCCAGTGAACTCCAGAGTTCAGCAGACAGAGTTGAGGGCTTGGGAAGACCAAGGCAGCAAGAGTTTGTAGAACAGAGTACTCGAGAGGAGAGAGCTGCAGAGAACCCCAGATATCTGGACAGGGTCTCCCTCTAGTATTCAAGAGAGCACCTACTAATGCGAGCATATCAATGAGGCTAGGAAAACAACCATTGGAAAGGATTAGAGGGAACAGAGCTCAGCACTCAAACAGACACCTATTTCCATCAGCCAGACTGGAAAACTCATAATTCATGGGGCATGGGAAAATCTTTCCTTATACTGTAAAACAGTTCATTTTAGACTGAGCACTCTTCCAGCCCTGCCTAATAACTTAAAAAGCAAGACACACAAAGATCAAACTATTTCCAAGTTACTTACCAGCATCCCAAAACAAAGCTAAAGAACATAAGAATACTATCTAGTACCCAACAAGATAAAATTCAAAATGTCTGGCATCCACTCAAAGATTACAAGACATGTAAAGATCACTCATACTGAGAACTTGTATCCAGAATTTACAAAGAATTCTCAAAACTCAAAAATAAGAAAACAAACAGCTCAGCTTTTTAAAAAATGGGAAGAGATTTGAACATACACTTGACCAAAGATATGTGGATGACAAATATGCATATGAAAAGATGTTCAGCACTGTAAATCATAAAAATGCAAATTAAAACCACTTCACACCTATTAAAATGGTAAAAATTTTAAAAACTGAGCATACCCAGTGATGCTAAGAATGTTAAAGAACTACATGCCACCCTGAACAAGCCCAATCCCATCTGATCTCGGAAGCTAAGCAGGGTCGGGCCTGATTAGTACTTGGATGAGAGACCACCTAGGAAGACCAGGTGCTGTAGGCATAAAAAATAAAAAATAAGGGATTGTAAGCTACAGGGTCCTTGCAATCTGTGAGGTCAACCAAGGGTCGCCTTGGCTAAAAAAAAAAAAAAAAAAGTTAAAAAACTAGAACTCTCATACTGGTGGGAATGTAAAATAATATAGCCGCTTTGGAAAAACAGTTTGGCAGTGTTTTTAAACTGTTAAACATATACCTACCACAACAGCTCAATCATTCCACTCCTAGATATTTACCTAAAAGAAATAAAAGCATATGTCCACACAAAAGTTTGCACACAAATATTCATAATAGCTTTATTTGTAACAGCTAAAAGATGGAAACAACCTACATGTCTATCAGTAGGTGAATGGATAAATCTACACACCGAAATATTACTCAGGTATGTGAGCAAAAAATTTAAAAAAAAAAACCCTCTTGATATATGCTACATCAATGAATCTCAAAATAATTTACTGAGTGAAATAAGCCTGATAAAAAAGAGTACATATTACATGATTCAATACTAAGTTCCAGGAAATGCAAACTAATGTACAATAACAAAGAGCAAATCAATGCTTGCCTGGAGAATGGGGGTAGGTGGCATGTGGGGATGGACAGTGGGAGAGGGGTAACAAAGGCCATGAGGGCAGTTGGAGATGACAGTAAGTACAGTATCTTGATTGTAGTGATGATTTACTTTGGTGCATATATCCACATCAATTCTTATTACATCATACTTTAAATATGAGCAGTTTATTATAAGTCATGTACATCTTGGTCAAGCTATTAAAAATATTAATGAGCTCTGCATTCTAGAGATTCTGGCAGAACTACTGTTTTCATCTTAAAATGTTAATTACACTTTGGTAAAAATACTTTAGAACTTTATTTTTAAAGTTGCAACAAGGAAACAGACATTACTTCACTGAAAAGCAATGCCATACACACTAAGAACAAGTACGAAGTAAAAATGATGAATCCTCACTCAGTAAATAAAACCAAATCGGAAGATAATTCTCAATGAATAAAACCAGAGTCAATCATTTGGGGTATGTCAGTTGTCTCTATCCTGTATACTGCCGTGACTTCCAGCAGCAGAGCCCTCAGGTTCGGAAATCTGAACTACAGTCTTCAGTTGTTCTCCAAGCTCCTCTATCAGAGGCCCAGATCCTTCAAGAGCTAAGGAAGAGACAAGTGGCTTTCCCTGACTAACATCAGACCTCAGGATGGCCGACTTTCTGCACACCCCACCATCATCGACAAGCAGGACACTGCTTTTCTCTATAAAGGGACCTTGCAAGGAATTTACTGTCTTGGATTCGCTATCTTTGAGCTCTTCTTGTTCTGAATCTGAGTCTTCAATCTCAGATGATGTGGGGCTGTCTGATTCCTCCAAATCACTTGCCTCAGAACTGGTTGAAGGTGTCTGCTGCCTGGAAATGGAATGGGCTGCTTTTAATGCAGTTTCTTCCTCCTGGACAAGAAGTGCCGCTGCTTCCAGTTCTTCCAGTTCTAATCCCAGCTGGGCCTTTGTCAGGGATACTTCCTTTAAGGCTTCTGCAAGAGCTGCCAACTTTTTGGACCTTAAAAACCATTTTAAGAAGAAATATTAGGACTATTCATTAATTGGCCTGGGGGCAACAAGGTACACAGCTTAAAGAAATAATAAAATAAAGTTGGGTCCATACTTTACATGACACACCAGGATAAATCCCCAAACAGATAAAAGATATACACGTAAAAAAAATGAAACTAGTAAAGTATTACAAAGAAGTGTAGGAGATTTCCTTTATGATCCTACAATGAAGAAGGCCTTTCCATGACTCAAAATCTAGAAGCTACAAACGAAAAGCAGAGACTGATAAATTTAACTAATAAAAACCAACAACTTCTGTAGGGCCAAAAAAAAAATAAAAAAAAATAAAAAAGCACCATCATAAGTCAAAAGGCTAAGGCAAAATTGAGAAAAACATGTGCAACTCCTATCACAGAGCAAGGCCTAACTTTCCTAACTTCTTAAAAGTGGATATAACAACCCATCAAAAAATGGCAAAAGATGTAAGCATACAATTCTCACAAAAGGAAATACAAATGTTTCTTAAGTATATGAAAAGATATCCAACTTCAGTAAAATAAGAGAAATACAAATTGAAGTCATACTGAGATATATTTTACACTTATCAAATTGGCAAAAATCCAAACATTTGTTAATACTGCTAGTAAGACTGTGGGGAGAAAGGAAGCTTCATACATTGGTGATGAAAAATTAAATAGATACAACCATATATGAAGGAGCACTTGACAAAAACTTTCAAAACTGAAAATGCACATACCCTTGACCCAGCAATATCACATCTGGAAATTAAACACAGGCCCAAGGTTTTTTTTTTTTTTTTTTTACTACCGCATTGTTTTTAATACCTCAAAATGGGAAACAGTCAAATTTCCATCAATATAATATGGGACCAATTGAAAACTTAAGACATATCCAAACATAGGAACAGTCTATAGCTACATAAGGAATAAAGCATTCCATGGGCTAACACATATATTGTTTATTTTTAAACCTATGTGACTGTAACACCTATTCAAAAGTTTTAAATGTACAAAAAAGAAAAAAAAAAAGCAATATTAGAGAGCAGCATAGAGTGCCTTTTATTTTTATCAGAAAACCATTTCATGTTATTTCAGAAGATATTTTTCTAAATTTGTAACATTATGTTATATTGAATAAACTTTTTCATTAACTTGAATGTATTCAGTAATTTTGTTTTTGAAAGAAGCAACATAAAGTATATTGCAGTTTTCCAAAACCTACGTCTTTACTATTCTATATCGGAAAATCTGATGTGGCGACTGAAAAAAAGCAGCAGTGAATGAAAGTGGTCAGCATGCTATCATGGCTTCTATGTTTCACTTACTTTAAAGATTAAATGAATGCACAAAACATTTAGTGGCTTTCAGACAAACTAGATAAGGGTGAGCTCACAAGATAAATTCATTTGTAAAAGTATAGTCCATCCCATATTGGGAGAATGAGGCTTTATTCAATAGAGCTGAAGTGAAAGGATGCTGCAGTGGGAACTACTAAACAAAGATGGTAATTTTCATCTCAGTGCCTACATATACCTAAGAACCTTTTGCCTCAAAATATTTAGCATCATGACTTTGTGCAAGCATGCTACCTCCCAGTCCTACACACTGCCTCTCCACAAGTGTAATCAGGATACAGACGCTCCACTGCAGTCAGTGTACAAGGGTAGGTAGGAAGTAGTGGAGTGAATGGGACAAGGGTAACAGCAATCACTGATGGGCTATTTTATCTTAAGCATAGAAAATTCTGAATTCCAGTGCTGCAATTTCCAGAGCTTAGGAAAGGAAAGGTGGATAGGGTAAAGAGGAAAACTACGATGAGATCAGCTGGAGTCAATGATTCACCAAAGGACTATAAAGTCTAGATAAACTGTGGTCAGTTTGAGACATCTTTAAAAGCACAGTTATGGAATAAGATGGTTACAATATATCATCTTATGTTCAAGATAGTTGTAGATGATATCTACCATATATTTTGAAACCTTGACTACCATTGGTAAAGGATTTAGTCAGAGCTAGTAGACCAGTTTAAAACATCTCTGCCCCAAGGCTCTGTCAGCCTAGGAACCAATTCACTGCCATCTTTTTCACTGAAGGAGATCCGCTCTGCGTTGTGACACACAGCTTTAAGAGATAAAGAGCAATGAACTCGGGGAAGAAGATAATGCCTCTTACCAAATTATAATATTAGAAATACAAATTTTACATAAGAGCTTTTACTTTAGTGGCCATACATCTCACATCTTAAATAGCCATGACAAATACTTTCAACAACATATGAAGGATGATGTTTCACAAATGTCACTGTACTTGTTCCTAATGGCAACCCCATAAATCAGTTTCCTTTTTAGCTCCATTACAGATGACGAAATGGAAGCTTGGAGGCGTTAAGAAACCTGCTGCAGTTCACCCAGCTAACAAGGGGCAGTCAAGACAGTAACTGATGCCTCCGAGTTCTAGTGCTCTTCTTACTTCACCCGAGGGCTTTCCATGAATATCCAGACTCTGAAAAGTTTCACTTCTTAAGACCACATTCTTTACTCCTTCCCAATTGAGCTCTATTCCACGTCTTCCAAATGAGCAAGTTCTAACTTACACAAGGCCCAGAATTCTCCAAAGAAGCTATGACTAATATCTTTAGCTTAGCAATCTTAAACGAAGTGTATACACCTAAGCTTTAACTTTAGAGGTTTAGACTAGAAAGAAAAAAATTTTTAATTATTTCAGTGCATATTAGTTAATAGTACAGTAGGTATGTCAACTCAAGTTAAAAACTATTTTGATCTGTTTTTGTCTACTATAAAAATGTTATATCTGTCATTTACAACAGAATAAGTTTGGAATTTCAAAGTCCGTCACCTATAATCCTGGCTCTTTTCACAAAGCATACCCTACATATGGTGGGACTAAAAAAAGTCAACTCCAACAGACAGGAAAGTAGCAAGGATGAGCTATGTGACCAAAACAGGAACTTGTGCCTATTACCAGCTGATGTGAATTTTAATCCTTCAGGAAAAAGTTTGTTTCTCACTTTAACACTACATTATGTTTAAAGTGACCCATTTATATAAATATGTAAAAAATAAATAATGCTAATTTTTGATTCTTCACCATGCTGATTCATCTCTACTTCTTATATTCTACATTTAATCTTCAAGCTGCCTAGTTTCCTAAATTAATATTAAAGATCTGACAGAACATTAAGTTTATAGAAGAAGTATTCTGAACTCTTCCCCTAAAGAATGCTAGGATAAAAAGTGATTACAAATTTCAAAATATTATTGGTGTAGAATGTGACCTAATAATATAAGGAATGAAAGCTGGGTTTGTTTCTATTCAACTGTTTGACACAGATAATTTAGCAATCACTGTTCATAAAAAAGAAAAATATTTCTTTGGAGGAAAAAAAACTAGGCCATGAAAAAGTAGCCTTTTTGTTCTTTCAACTGCTGGTACAATTAGAGTTGGTTCTAAGTCTGCCACTCCTTGTAAATTCTAGAGTCTACCTCTGTAATGGCCTTTCCATTTCAGAAAGCACCTCATTTATTGCAGTTAGTGGTTTTTCACTGTCACACTCAGACCAGGTTAGTTCATGTCAAAAAGCCCTGGTCAGATGACATTATTAGTTAACCACAATGCTTAGAAAAATCAAGTATATCAAGAAACTGAGTTACTAGTTGGACTTACAGTATATATTTTATATCTAAGTGAAAAACACCTATCCATTAAGAATATATTTATTACCAACTAAAGAGATTTAGCATTTAAAATAAGATATGACAACTGAAACATATTATCATATTTTAATAAAATTCACTCAAAACAGGTTTTTTCTTAAAGTTTTGGGAAATGTAATCGTACCACGTAAATTTTAAAAAAACTTTCATTTTCTTTGTATATGTGAAATAATATTCTATTTAGAAAAACAATTAATTAAACACTGCTTTCTGACAAGTTACAGCAGATAAAACTACCATAAAAGAGGAAGAGCTGAAAGTACATGCCTTTACCATGGCTGAACTTACATAAAATTTCCCCATTTGTTTTATATTTGGTGGTCAAGTTTGGGGAAAGAAAAAAAAAGGACCCATGGCCTTATGAAACAGCCAAGACAAAGTGCAAAAGGAGCACTGAAATGTAGGAAAAAGAAAACTGTGTATAAATAGAAAGCATACATCCTGTTTCTTGCTGTAGAGTTTTGTCTCAAACTATCAATCAACTTTTCACCACTTCCTGCAATAGCAGGTCTACTATAAATCTTGTAGTAACTGACTAGGTTTCATTTCCTCTGCCCAAACCTGCCAACCTGCCAGCCATGACAAACTCACACTAGAGCCAACAACTGATAATGTAGCACAGGATACCAGTGAGGCAATTCAAGAAACATTTCATAACTGGATGATGGAATACATTGTCTTGGCCTTTTAGTTTCAAAGGACACACACATTCTCATTCATATTCTCTCTCTCTCTCTCTCTCTTTAAGATTCTATGATTCTATCGGGACAAACAGCACATCAACTTTCTTTTTAAAGGGAATTGAAAATGACATATAATCAGAATTCCTCTTTATTGAAAAGAAACAGTTCCAAACTTCAAAATTCCCTGTCCAAAAACATATTTATATTGTAGCCTGGTCTAAAAGGTAATACATTAGCTTTAAGTAGAAGCTGCTAGTGAAACTATTCTCTGAAAGTTGTCATGAAAAGCGAATACCAATCGATGCACAGATGAACACAGAATTGTGTTATTATTCTATAATAGTAAAAACTGTTTCCAGCTCAGTCATTAATAGAAACAATCTCTTTGAACAAGAAACTGCTAATTTAATATAGAAAATACTGCAACAAGTGTTATTTAAGCCATATTAAGTTTGGGCCAATGGAATAACTTTTCACCCTATTTTCAACTTGATTTAATACTATTCTGTGGGCCTGGGCTATGAAAAATAACATTTAGTCCATGAATCAGCAGAATAATTTTCTAAAAAC